ACACACACACATACACACACACACACACACGCACATACAAACTCTGCACTACTATAACGACATTGTCCAAGACGACCACCTGTCTCAGACAACCACATTTCTTCTAGACAATTTCGACTGTACTTACAAAGACAGGAACGAGACCCCGAGCCAGGTCCCTGCATATGGCGGCCTCGAGGGTCTCCCAACTCAGCGCGCCTGTGGTGTCGCTGGGAAGGATGGTCAAAGATACTAAGCCGATCAGACAGGATTTCTCCATACAGCAGTGGGTCTGGATCAAGATATCCAAAAAATAAATTTCAGTGAGTTCCAGTATCCCCAGCCTGGGCACACGAGGTGATAAGGTGGAACTCAAATTCAACGAAGTCGCCGGGCCTGACCTTAAATTTCGTTGAATCCGAGTGTTCGTTATAGCAAACATGAGGTTTTTGTGGAGATAATTACAGGCACATAGCAAGTAATATTCGACTTTCTCACACAAAAGTAGGTTGGTTTCAAATGAGAAGCATGTTCGTTTGTTTGTTGTTTTCTTTTTATGCCATACCGAAGAAATGCTGGACAGTTTCAGAAAAATACATTAACTCTGCCAAACACACTTTGCACAAGGGCAAATTCATTCAAATGAACGCCTGTGTCATTAATAGTCTATAACGTACTGTTTGCCGAACATGTTATGTTGCTGTGTAGAGCCTAGCATACGGAAACGTTTGATTTCACCACAGTCCAGAGCTCAATTCATTACGTGTCATGTATGTCAATAATAGCGTATCATTGTAACGTTGATCAGTAGCAGGGGGGGGGGTATAACTGTGACGCATTTGTACTTATACCGACGTTCCCCTCCCAAATCGGTTGTCCCCCCCCCCTTTCCCCCAGACACACGCAGACGCAGTCCGACCCCGATACACACTATGAGATCTGTGTGTTTAGTTTTGTAAGGTTTTTACCGCGCTCGCAACTGATGATAAGGTCATATGAGCGCCAAGATGTATGTGTGCGTGCTTACAACGTGTGGTTTTGGTACTAAAGAAGAGACCGCTGATTGGTCGCATAAGATATAAATACATGTAATAGGCGGGGCGAATAATGGTTCACGATGCATATGTCATGGGTGGTTTCCAGGAATAGATAAGGTTCGTTGTGGGAGAAAAATGAGCGGAGCTTGCTCATTTATGAGTTCGTTGAGTCCGAGATGTTTTTATTGATTTTCATCAATTAAAAAAAAAAAACGGGGAATACCACTCGTTTCGTTGAATCAGAGTTTGCTGAAACTGAGTTCCACTGTAGAGGGTTGGGTTGTTGTTTTTTAAGGACCTTAATGTCCTACAAGACAGAAATGTGTCACGTTGGATAGGAGATACTCGTACCACTATTAATATTATATTACGCTTCAGAGCTTATACTTCTGTTGGGTGGAGGGGTGCACTTCTTTGCACCGAGCAGCCTCTGTCGGTGAATAAGAATCAAAATATCATTTCTATAAAATAAGCTGCCACCGATCCCGCAGATCGGCACAGAGATTAGGTCGTGTCTACGTGCGCTTACAGAGATTGTATAGATTGATTCTTATAATTTAAGGCGCCTAGGGGTTAGGTGACAGAAATCGGCCGCCTTACGTTTTCCCACTTAGAGAACTTGAACAGGTGGACAATGGGAAAAGAACAAAGCAGTAGCTTTTAGAGGGCATCCGAACAGTGATGTGAGTGGAGAACCAAGACCAACCTGTCTGGGTTTTTTTACCTGAACGTGAACAAGGAGTAATAATTTAGCAATGATGAATGTTGTTGATTTTTGACCCTGTTTTAAAAATAAATAAAACTGAGTGTTTACTGTCTATTTTACACGCATCACGTTTCATAGACAAATTTAAACAAAATCAACTCTGATGACAGATAGAAAGTACAAAGCTATCAGCAGCACTCGAGTGCTACCCCGTTTGATTCTCTCACCTGATCTGACGTATACGCAACTAGCTTGTCCAGAGCTTGACCGTTGGTCAGCTGAGGGTCAAGACATCTCAATTTGTTAATTGCTGCTTTCCTGGCAGAGATAAGGGAAATCAGAATAGCCTCGCTGGCGCCTCCCTAGGGACATAAAATGGAGGGGGGGGGTGGAGTTTGCGCATGTGAATGTGTATATGGGGAGAGAGAGAGAGAGAGAGAGAGA